TCGCTCGTGCAAAGGCTCCCTCACCACCGCGCTTCCCGCCCCGCTTCCCCTCGAGCGCGCGTTCACGCGGGATCCGCGGCCCGCCAGCCCGCCAAGCCTTCACCTCCCCCTATCACACGCACCTGCACGTGCTCGAGCGCAATTTTGGACTCACCAGGTACACCTGCGCGTACGGCTGATGGCCATGAATCCGGGCGAGGAGGACGGCTCACCTCCGTCCAGAAGTCTGTCTGTTCAAAACTGGTCACCGTTCAAAACAAAGATATACCGTTTTTCTTTCTTTTTTAGTTAGCACCAAAAACAAAAGAAATCGCGGGGATTCGGAGCTGTTCAAAACTGATGGCAAGAAAAACTGAGCGTTTGACTGCTCGGCCATAGCCCACCATCCGCACCATAGCCCAACATCCGCAAAAAGAATTCGCGGCGTTTTAAACGGCTCAAAACACCAGATAGGTCCCTTGGGTTGTCTGTTTTCTTTCTTTCTTTCTACACCAGATAGGTAGGTAGGTTGGTCTTGTTTCGCCCAAAAGGGCCCCCCTGCAATAGATGGGTACCCCTATTTTCATCTTTTTTCGCTTCGCTGCGCGGCCTGGGGATAGGTAGGTAGGTAGGGCGTGAGTGAGTGACTCACACACACACACACAGGTAGGGCGTGCGAAGACCCCCTATCCGGCTAGGAGCCGGAACCCAGGTGGTCTGTGCAAAGAGGTTTTCTTTCTTTTTAGTTAGCACCAAAAACAAAGAAATCGCGTGATCGGAGCTGGTTCAAACTGAGACACCACCGACACACCGGCGAGCATGCCACCCGCACCACTCCAGCCTCAGATCGAGGCCATCTTCAACGACGCCCAGCAGTCGCTCGCCAAGCACCGGCGGTGCGCGGAGCGGCTGCGCGCGCTGCAGCGCAAGGCCGACGCCCGCGCGTTTGCCGAAGCGCTCTTTGCGTGCATCGCGTGTGTGCTGCCCGTCTTCAAGCGCGAGCCCGCGGCGGAGCGGGTGGTCGAATTCGTGGTGCGCTTCCTGACCGAGGCTGGTGAGGACGATGCCGGCGAGCAGGACGAGCTCATCGGCCGCATCTGCCTCCCGCTCCTCGGGCTGTCGGACGCACGCGACAAGGCCGTCCGCTTCCGCGTCTCCCAGCTGGTGGGACGGATCATGAACGCGATGCCCGAGGAGGCGGAGGTGTCGGACGACCTCTTCGTCGCGGTCGAGGAGCGCATGCTCCGCCGCTGCCGCGACAAGGTCCCCGTTGTCCGCGCGTGCGCGCTGCGCGCTCTGTTCCGGCTGCAAGACCCGTCGGGGCCGTCCGACGCGATCTCAAGTGAGCTGCTCCGGATGATGGAGCACGACTCGAGTCCGGAGGTGCGGATGGCGGCCATCTCGACCGTCGCCCCCTCCAAGCCCGCCATCCGCGGTCTCCTCTCCCGCACGCGAGAC